TCCAGCAGTGGACTGCAATATGCTGAAATAGAAATAGATAGTTTGTCTATTTCTAAAATTAGATGTAAATAGGTAAGCCGAGTGTCCCACATGGTAAGCGTGCAACTTACTATGTGCAATCGAACAATATCAGTAATTATTTTGACAGCCGCAGTGAACTATGGCACGGCTGTTGCGCGATTATTCGCTGTGACGGCACTCGCTGTGAGCTCGTTACTTTCGATACTATCTGGTTCATCCGGGTTGTTGGTTGACTCGATGTCCCAATCGGTAAACCTGCAACTTACCATGTGCAATCGAACAATATCAGTAATTATTTTGACAGCCGCAGTGAACTATGGCACGGCTGTTGCGCGATTATTCGCTGTGACGGCTCTCGCTGTGAGGTCGTTACATTCGATACTTTCTGGTTAATCGGGTTGTTGGTTGACTCGGTGTCCCAATCGGTAAACCTGCAACTTACCATGTGCAATCGAACAATATCAGTAATTATTTTGACAGCCGCAGTGAACTATGGCACGGCTGTTGCGCGATTATTCGCTGTGACGGCTCTCGCTGTGAGGTCGTTACATTCGACACTTTCTGCTTGATCGGGTTGTTGGTTGACTCGATGTCCCAATCGGTAAACCTGCAACTTACCATGTGCAATCGAACAATATCAGTAGGTAATTATTTTGACAGCCGCAGTGAACTATGACACGGCTGTTGCGCGATTATTCGCAGTTACAGCACTCTCTGTGAGCTCGTTACATTCGATACTATCTGGGTAATGTTAATGCGATGGGGATGTTTATTTTTATTATATCCGAAATTGTGCAGCTGTATAGTGATAATTGTACGTAATTGGCAGAAAAATTAAGATCGTCAGTTAAGATAAGCTGAGTTGAGGATGTAGTGTCAGATATTTGAACATTGATCAAAAAATGCGATGATGAAATGATTGACTTATTATTAATCAAGAGACTTCGAATATAATCTACCCATTGTTCAGCGTTGTAGCTAAGAAGGTATTGTCTATTCTGTGGTATTGTTCAAAAGTTACTGATATGGATTGAGATATTAATAAAAAAAGTGCAGGCACAGCAGTATCATTGTATAAATTTCAAGTTAACCCATTATTATTTGGTTGTCTAAATCAAAGACAGCAACGCAAATACCGTCTAAAACATAAACTGAAACATACAATAGCAGATGTCCTTATACCGTGGAAGATGCCTTCAATCACCACTTAATGTCAGGTTATGCAAAACCACGGAAATGTCAGCTGCGCGGGCGCCGTACATAGATCACGATTTGCCTCTACCGCTTGCTTGATACGATTCAAGCTTACTAATATTATAATTGTGAAAGCGATTTTGTTTGTTCCTCCTGGAAAAATTTTATCAGTAAAAGGAAATCCGTTTGGTTCGAAATAGCGCTCCTCTCGTAGCTCCTCTCATTTTATGTCAAAACTATCTAACCTTTGCTGCACAGGCCGCACACTACCTGGTTAGATATTTTTGACATACAATTTTTAAGTACCGTGAAAGTGAGTGAATTTATCAGCAGTATGATATAAACATTTTTTTCAATATTTTTAATGTTTTACAGATAAATAAATCAAACGAGACAACGGGCGTGAAACTAGTGATCTAAAATATCTCTTACGCAATGTATTCGCACCTCCATTCTAATACCATACCATTTTGTTCTACTGCTCTATTTAGAGTCAAGGTTCGCAGTTTCGTGTCAATCAACCTGAGTTTTAGTATTAACAATCTAAGGCATTTGCTATTTATTACACTGCAATAGAACTTTGAGTCAAATATCAAGTTCATGCACCTGCAGTTATGAAAATATGACGTTTGTTTTCTATGACCAAAAAAATACATGTCTATCAGTTACAGCGTTTACAATTTGCATGCGTGGTATGCTCGTAAAATGATTTGCTTGTCAAATAAATATTTCTTCAAATAAATCTTCATTCCAAGATATGGTATGTCTGTTGCCTGGGTGGGTACTGTGTCTAACAACAAAAGCATTGTTGCAACGAAAAACATCTTTTTACTATAGAAAAAGACACGTTTATATTTTTAATGCCATCCTACCTATACCAAACTTCCAAATGTAGGTACATAACTACTGTGAGTTTACTATACTCTATCCGCGCGATGAAGATAATACCAGAAAATGTAAAATGATTGCCATTGGTTAGCGATAACGAGGCAAGGATGCGTTTACATGGCGGTGCAATTTCAGTCTACTTCTGTGGCTTGCACGGTGCGGACGCGTTCTTTTGTTCTTATATCGATTGTTTTATTTCTCCTACGACCTAGCGCGTGTTTTGGACTATTTCCTGTGAAACATACACAGATGTATTTACCTAAAATTATTTTTACTTATTAAATATTGTAATAGACCAAAGAAAACGAAATTTAATAGTAAAAAATGTTTATGAGTCTTCTTTAACCAAAGAGCCATGTAAACGCATCTTTACGTTTTTACACAATTGTTGACGCCCACTTACCCGGAACACGGAGTCATATCCCATCCATCATCCATCAGGAATCATATCACATCCTCTGATGACACGGAGTCATATCGGCGGCTCAACAGACAGATATGCCAGTCCCTGCGGAGCGATATTCGAAACTTTAATACTAAAAATATTAAAGATACGATTGAGCGAAACAAGGGCATCAAAGTTTTCGCCAGGGACCAGTCTATTGGGCAGAGCCAGCTGACAAAGCTGAAGACGGAGGACGGCAGGGTAGCGTCCACGAGGCCAGAGGTACTGAGGGAGATCGAACAGTTCTATGGACAGCTGTACACTTCAGTTGCAAAACCTGTTAATAGCTTAACAGACCCTAGAGCAAAACTTACCCGACACTATACCGAAGATATCCCGGACATCAGCTTGTATGAGATTAGGATGGCCCTTAAACAGCTCAAAAACAACAAGGCGCCGGGCGAGGACGGAATCACATCAGAGCTACTGAAAGCGGGTGGAACACCAGTACTTAAAGTCCTTCAGAAGCTCTTTAATTCAGTCTTGTTCGAAGGTGTGACGCCAGAAGCATGGAACAGAAACGTGGTGGTGCTTTTCTTTAAGAAGGGTGATAAGACTCTCCTTAAGAATTATAGGCCCATCTCGCTTCTGAGTCATGTTTACAAGCTGTTTTCGAGGGTAATTACGAATCGTCTGGCTCGCAGGTTTGATGACTTCCAGCCTCCCGAACAAGCCGGCTTCCGAAAAGGGTACAGTACCATAGATCACATTTTTACGCTGCGGCAGATTGTACAGAAGACCGAGGAGTACAATTTGCCACTATGCTTAGCGTTTGTGGACTATGAGAAGGCCTTTGATTCTATCGAGACGTGGGCAGTACTGCAGGCTCTACAGCGGTGCCACATTGACTACAGGTATATCGAAGTGTTGAAGTGTTTATATAGAAACGCCACAATGTCAGTTCGAATACAAGATCAGACCACGGCGGCTATTCCATTGCAGAGGGGTGTAAGACAAGGAGATGTACTATCTCCGAAGCTCTTCACCAATGCGATGGAAGATGCCTTCAAGCTCCTGGAATGGGAAGAACTTGGCATCAATATCAATGGCGAATACATTACTCACCTTCGGTTTGCTGACGATATCGTGGTCATGGCAGAGTCATTCGAAGACCTCAGCAAAATGCTACAGGACCTCAATCGGGTTTCCCAACAAGTGGGACTCAAGATGAATATGGACAAGACGAAAGTCATGGCCAACTCTCATGTAGCGCCCACCCCAATATCAGTAGGGAACTCGATACTCGAAGTGGTGGACAAATACGTCTATCTAGGACAAACAGTCCAACTAGGAAGATCTAACTTTGAGAAGGAGGTCACTCGGCGAATCCAGCTCGGCTGGGCAGCTTTCGGGAAGTTACGCAGCGTCTTCACGTCCAAAATTCCTCAGTGTCTCAAGACGAAAGTGTTCGAACAGTGTGTCATGCCAGTGATGACCTACGGTGCCGAGACGTGGTCTCTAACTGTCGGCCTCCTTAATAGACTAGGAGTCACTCAGCGAGCTATGGAGAGAGCTATGCTCGGTGTTTCCCTACGTGATCGAATCAGAAACGAGGAGATCCGTAGACGAACCAAGGTAACCGACATAGCTAAGAGAGTCAGTAAGCTGAAGTGGCAATGGGCAGGCCACATTGCTCGAAGGACTGATAATCGGTGGAGCAGGAGAGTTCTCGAGTGGAGACCACGTACCGGCAGACGCAGCGTAGGACGGCCCCCCGCGAGATGGACAGACGATCTGGTCAAGTCCGCGGGGAAATGCTGGATGCAGGCCGCTTCTAATCGGACAAGGTGGAAATATTTAGGGGAGGCCTATGTTCAGCAGTGGACGTCCTATGGCTGATATGATGATGATGATGATGACTTACCCGGAAGGGCAATCATTTGTCCCTTTCACTTGCATACAAAAGTGCGGTTGAGAGGACGCTATATTATCTTCATCGCGCGGATAGAGTATAGGGTGAACTAGTTCTTGAAACTGTATTTCCTTCTATATGAATAGATATTATAAACCGAAAATATCTACTAGTTTGTTAGCCGAGGAAGTCATTTTCGTTTACATAATAAAACTACCAGTTATTGTAATTGTCAAAACGGTGCAACCAACACAAATGGGACTTAGCACCATTTCGGTCATATCGGTAGTAATTGCAGCAGCGCCACAAAAAGCCTTTGAAAAAAATTACGTAACAGCTCCAGCTGAATACTCATTGTCTACGTTCAATGCACATGAGTAAATACGTACGGACCCATAAAAGGCACTACCGGTATGCTTTCAACGCTATTTGACATTCATTGCTGGTCGACATTCTTAATCTATGTTTTTTGTATTATATTATTATTGATTACGATCGACATTCATAATCTATATGTTATAATTATTATTATGGAATACGAAATTTTAAAACGCTTCCCGTGTTAGGTAAAAATTTTTTTAGAATACTTGCAAAATTTTCCACCGCAGGCAGGATTTGACCCTAGGACCTTCGGCGTCTACTGCCGACGCCACTACCAACTGGGCTACCGCGGTTCTCTCTTATATAACTTGCGAATAGAGCAAGTTTGGCCACGCTCCGTGGCAGGGCTCCATCTACCGGGATCTATTATTACACTTACATTCTATGAAATTGTTAACTTATCCGAAATTATTGGTTGCACCTCGATGTGACGCCTAATTTAGAAGTAAATTTATTTATTAGGGGGATAAGAAGCACCTGTTGAAGATTGCTCATGTCTGCTTATTTGACTTTGTTCCTCTTGTTTTCAATTTACTGCTGAAAACGGCGCACACCGAATGACGCAAGGATAATGTGTGCGAGGCACTTTCCCCAAGAGAGCAATGGATGAAAGTGCGTGTCAAAAGCGCACGGGTGAGGATCGACACCGCCAAAGGGAATCAGTAGAAGCTTTCACCTGAATGGTTCGTTGTACCGATGGTTGTACCGCATTCATTACGGCTGACAACTTCCAGTTTACTCTACAGTTAACGTTTTTACGCGAAATCCATGCCTCGCTGTTTAACAAGACAAATCGCTTATCGGTGTCGGCAGAATTACAAAAATCAACACAGAAATTAGTTTTGTAGTTTGTGACTAAAAGATCACAGTCCGGTCACAAACAAACATTACCTAGCATCAAAGGTGTAAAATTATTATTCAAATATGCAGGCTTTATAAAGCCTAAACAACCTGTGCTGAAAATAGTATAGTTCTACGACGCTCCGTTATACCGAAGTTCTTATGTTGGTACTGAAATAGTTAATTACTTTATAGTAGTAAAATTTTCCACTTTCCAGTTAAGCCTACCTACTCACGCCTGACACCACGGTTCATCGGGTCGTTCGACTCAGTACACGACAGAAGAAGTTAGAAAATCACTGTGGGTGTAAATTCTCTGTGTGAATTCAAACTCATAAACGGGTTTCTGTATTACAAAATTTAAAACAGTCTCTGAAATTACTGAGACATATTTTCTATTAAATAGCCACATTGGGATGGTACGGTACGTAAATTTGGAGCGAAATGGAGTTCTGCCGCCAAATGGTCGACAATTGTAGCGAATTTCATATTAATTATGGCTAAAGCCGTTGTAATGAAGTAGATTAAGCCTTTTCCACCCGTGTTGAAGCGGTTAGGCTCCGAACAAATCAGCGAATAATTTGCCTCATTTAGGTTCGCTATTTATACCGTGTGATGCCGGCTTAGAATGTCATTACCCCATATCTTTCCCGTGGGTGTCGTAAGAGGCGACTAAGGGATAAATTCATTCAGGGTTCAATCTCTGGATGAATTTCGCAATCGCATTGCAACATCTTGCGCATTGCGCTCACCAACCCGCTTGCCAAGCGTGGTGAGTATGGCAAATACCCCCCTACCAGGAGGAGGCCCATGTTCAGCAGTGGACTTTATTGTGGCTGTAATAGTAGGTTCGCTATTTCGGTAAGTACTGAAATAGTGACGGGATAGTGAAAACAGAAGATCGTCACGCAAACTAGGCGCAAAAAGGCGTTGAGTTGCGGAATACTGCCTGCTTTACTATCACCAACAGGACATCGTGGTCTGGGCCACAGTTCAGAGTCACCACACCACAAAGTCTGTGGTGTATGTGTCGCAGTACGATGGCAGAATCAGGTTTTTGGCCAAAAACCTAGGTTTTTGGCCAAAAGCCGGCATATGGCAGAATCGTAGACTTCCTTCGGCCATCGTCCTGAGCTGATCCAGGTTTTTGGCCAAAAACCTAGGATTTTGGCCAAAAAACTAGGATTTTGGCCGAAATCCTAGATTTGTTTAGTATTATGGCTTTTTTTGAATTTCGGGGGAACTACTTTGTCTTCGAGTGGTACACCAAAGCACCTAACGAGCCGATGGACCCTGGTATCAGAGTTTTCAACCGCCTACTGCAAGTAGCAGGCCTCTAACATGGTTGTGTAACGACCGCCGTCTAAGTGATCATAGAGAGCAATCGGGACCGACCGACGGCTTACCGTACCCGTGTGGTTCGGGGGAACGAGAAGTGGAGAGGTACTTTATGCACATCCCTCTGATCTTTTGAGGGTAGACTTGGAAACCGTAAATGGACACCCTGAAGGACGGGGGGTAACATCAGACAGTCTGAACAGCAGGATTGCCTCGGATTCCCTGAAGGGCAGGGGGAAGCTTCAGACACCATAAGAGCAGGACGTACCACTGAACGCTCTAGAGAATTGGTGGTAGCGTTGGACGCCCTGGAGACCAGGAGGTAGCGTCGGACCCCCAGAAAATCCAACGCCCGTCATCTTACATCCTCCAGAGTGTCCGACGCTACCCACGCCCTCAAGAGCGTCTGACGCTACCTCCCACCCTCCAGAACGCCCAATGTTACCTCCTGCCTTTCGAGGTGTATGCCCGAACTACACGGGCACGTTAAGCCGTCGGTCCCGATTGCTCTTTATGATCACTTAGACGGCGGTCGTTACACAACCTTGTCAGAGGCCTGCTCCTTGCAGTAGGCGGTTTAAAAACTCTAACACCAGGGTTCATCGGGTCGTTGGGCGACTTGGTGTACCAGTCGAAGAAGAAGAAGTTTCCCCGAAATGCAAAAAAAGCCATAATACTAAACAAATCCTAGGTTTTTGGCCAAAAACCTGGATCAGCTTAGGACGATGGCCGAAAGAAGTCTACGATTTTGCCATATGCCGGCTTTTGGCCAAAAACCTAGGTTTTTGGCCAAAAAACTGATTCTGCCATCGTACTGCGACATATGTACCCTAAGGGGCAAGCTCCACAGAATAGACGCGCGACGCGACGCGACCATTGGCGGCAAGTAATCGTCAGTCATTATCGATGTGTAACTTTGTAATTCTTCTTTTTGATACATTTTATTTGAAAGCGGTTTCAAGCGTCGCGATGTCGCACGTCCCACGTCTCCGACGATCACTTGTTTGACATATGCCATCTTAAGTCTTACGTCTTCTCTGTGGAGCTGGCGCCTAAGGAGGCCTACGTCCAACGGTGGACTGCTATAGTCTGATGTGAAGTTAGTAAAAGAGTTTTCTTTTTTACATTTCGCCTTCGGCCTATGATTTTGAGCAGAGTCATACAGTTGCTTGGATTATTTCGCTATTTGTAAATTTATCATACCCCATATTCTTATATTACTTTACCTTTTATACCCACCACAGTACGACCCGCCAGGGTTGGTACGACCTAAGTATTTTTTCTGAGTGATACCTTTTTTTTGTGGGAATCGTAAAAAACAGTATCGGATCAAATACAAAAATAGTACTAAGTTTAGTGTTTATGGTTATTAAACAAGTATAAAAATACATCAAAAGAAATTTTTACTAAATAACTATTTTTTTCTTTCTTCACGAAGAAATTTTGTTTCTAGGTAAGTGAGCCGAAAATGAATACCTTTTTCTGAAAGCATCTTAAAATGTCCAAAGAGACGTTTAAAAGCTTATTATTAATAGCAGTCTGTCAAAGGTCAAGATTTAATATTAACAACGATTCGATTTGAATGCTAAATATTTACTCAAGTTGAATTAGTAAGTAGGTTTACATACATATAAAAATATTTCCGTGGCATTAATAAGAAGTTAAAAGATTAATTCGATTTTATATTTATTCATATCAGATATTATCATGTTTGCCTAATGAGGCATTTATCTGATTGAATCGTATTTTTTATTGATTTTGATGAATATATTGATTATTGATTAGTGAAGCGCATGAAATCATTGAAGTGTGATCGTAGTATTTTTTACTTTTTAAGCATACTAATAATAAATAGGTACGTGCGTCAAGACCTTGATGTAGTCTATTACAAAACAACGTTAATGTGAATGTAGAACGTAGCCTTTTTAAATTGGTAGCTGACGTAAAAGGATAAAAGGAACAGGAAAAAATACTTTCATTTTAAAGTTAATTAAACTTGAAGATCAGGCTTCTGTCCGATGCTTTGCAAAAGTGACACCTTAAACATGAAACCGCGAGAAGCAATAATTTTGTTAAATTATGATAGCATCAACCGCACCTCAACCTACTCATTTAAGGAATCAACTTGTACTGGGTTTTCTTAGTAACTACATGAAAAACCAAATCACATCGATCCCTCAAAAGTATAACATTAGGTTCTGCTGATTGTACCTACCTGTAATAATTACAAAGAGAGTTACTTACTTGACGTTCCAATTTACTTACGTGGTTAAATCGACTCTACAAGAAATATAAGCTGTTTTAGAGTGAAATAACCCAAAAATCACCTTACTTAAAAGAAGGTTAATGTAGTTTAGACGGTAGTTGGGTTACAAAGGATCGAAATTTAGGTAAAAATAAGTCTATTATAACTATTAAAAGCCTTTTTCATTATGATAAGACCTACCTTTGCAGACCTGCTTTTTATTTGACAGACAAATGTACTTTTATTTTTTTTACATCATATTGATAAATAGGTTCTTCCTTCTTACAGTACATACCTCACTCTGTTTATACTCGTAGTAGTACTACAGTATAGTAGTACCTAAGTACCTACCTGCCGGTACGGTACGGTACATAAAGTAAAACGTGTATCATATTCATTCATATCATTACGTTAGAGCTCCATAGCTAGTTCAGCCCTTGTTAGAGCCCTTGATAGTTTGAGATGCTGCTGATAGTAAACTAAAGTAAAATTATTAGAGTACATAATGTGGATATGTTTATGATTATGACCTACACAGGAAAAGTGTTACCGCCTGTTTAAGAACAAAGCTAAGTTATATCCTGAAAAGTAGGTGCTAGCTGCGACATAACGTGTACCTAAAGGGTAAATTATTTTAAAGTGCCATAAATAGTTTGCACAACTTCCGCTGTAAAGCGGGTTGCATGAGCTGCAATAATTTCATTTCTATCGCGCTGTCAGCTACCAAACGTCAACTTTGCGTAGGGTTGCCAACTTGCTATTCTTTAGGATATACCATTACACTAACTACGACATTCAAAAGAACCGTAAATATTTTGCACAACTTCTGTTGTAAAGCGGGATGCATGAGCTGCAATCATTAGGTACTTT